CCAAGTCATTTAGGCCTGTAGTAGACCCACGCACAGCAGGGCGGCCCTCAGCACTGCAACCAGCCATCGAACACTGAACTCAAGTGCTCTGTGATAGAGCAAAGTTGTGCGGTACAAATGCATATTTCGTGAATATTACAGGTTATATATACAGATCATTTCACAACGTTCTCCAAGCATCATAACCTCTGTTTTCATTTTTTTGTATTTATTGCATTAATAATACATCTAAATATACAGTACTGTGCAAATTTACAGCTTTTTCAAAGTTATTGAAAAAGACAAAGAAAAATCACTAGAACTCAGAAACTGGACATCTGGGATATAAAAATATACGGATGATTTGTAATTTGTAATTTCTTAAATGGAAAAAACAGCAACTTCTAAGACTGAACTTTGGAGGTGTGTCTGCAGATTCTTTGAGAAACTGAAAGTGAGTCTCCTGAAAGGAACGGAAGCTGTAATCAAGGTAAAGAGTCGAGACGCTGAATACTGAAAAAAATTAATTAAAATAATATTTTTGAGGCTTTTATGTAATTTTCCATTAAATATGTTTTCTGCTTTTTTTTTCCTGATGCTGAAAAATAAATCATTTGTACTTATTGGCCATTTTGACTGTAATAAAATAAATAAAGGGTGACTTTTGCACAGTGTATATATTGTGTATGGCCTATAAACAGGGCCATAACTTTACTTAGGACCAACAGAGCCAGAGGAGCTCCATGAATATGTAGTAATACTATATTTTTTCATCATATTGTATCATCTCATACGTGTCAGTCATGATATTGGCGGAAACGCACAGTATCTTATGAAGACACCATTAATGACTTCCAAAAAAGAAATCAGAAATCATGCTTCAGACACCCCCAGACAAATTATAGGTTTTTAATTGAAAATAAGTTAACACAGCCTCTACAGGGAAAACTAAATATAAATACATTATAGTGCACAATTTCTATTCTTATGCTTAACAAATTTGAAAAGCATAAACTATAAAGTATGCCATAACTTTTGCACGGGCCACATTTATTGTCTTTTTTTACCCCAGTATGTTAAATTCAGTTAAATTAAGAAATGAACGGTAATTGTGTATAAAAATGTTCAGAAATGTGTCTCTGTAGAGGAAGTGTTCACTTATTTACACTTAAAAAACCAACAAAACATGGAATTTGACCAGAGACACCCAAACTTTTGCATGTGACTGGGCGTGCCACTTAAATATGCACTATTATTTTATTTATACAGAAATTTTAGTTGGTTAAATGTTCTGTTTCTCATGTATGGTAATTGGTTTAGCATTTATTAAACTTTTTTCTGGTTAAAATCAATGAAGGATTAGTATTTTTTCATTCTTGCACAGAAAATGATGTAACTGGAGTGGGTGGGGTGGGGGGTGGGGGTCAGGGGGGCTAAGCAGGATAATGGTTAGGGTCCCAAAATGCTCACAAGCAACACTTCCTACAAATGCATTTGTATTATACAAATCTCGGCCATTTTAGCAGCACAGAAATGGCAGCTCTCACTTGCTGTCTGTTGAATAAAACAGCATTGGCCTTTAAGGCGCAATGTTTTCCATGTCTTGTTTTTCAATATATTGTGGAGTCAGGTCACGCCTGTGGTCTATTTACTTTATACATAATAGGTAGCCTGTTCAGAAATGTTTGTGCATGTTAATTGAACTGTGTTTTCTCCCGTTCTGTATGGTGTTTTCTAAATTAAACCAGGTAAAGCTGAGATATGGACCAGACCTTTGAGTCTGCCAAGTTTCTTGTGAGTGTCCCCTTGTTACAATGGTGTCAGAAGTGGGAAAACACTGTTCTAGGCTAGCTCTCAGCTCTTAATGTTATCAGGCTCTAGATCTCTCTAGTTCTGCAAGAACAACATATAGCCCTTGCAGTTCTTAGCCCCTCCCTTCAGAATAAGAGTCCACAGCAGAATAAACCCAGTGAACAAATGCAGCATAATCAAACAACCTAAAATTAACATGCACAAACATTTCTGAACAGGCTACCGTATTATTCCTAAACTAAACAGAACGCAGGCATGACCTGGTGCCACAATATTTTTGTATACAAAAATATACACAACAGTGGTATATTTCGAACCAGTTCAGGCTTGCAGACTGTAGAGTTAATGTTAGCCTGTCTGTCAATGAGCACAGTCACGCTTTGCTTGAATGAAGGGGAAAATGCATTGTAAACAGGCTTGCAGTGGGAGTAGAGTTAACTCCCCACCAGTAGGTGGAAAGAACTGTAAGAGACAGCCAGGAGGAGGAGGAGGGGAAGAGGAGGAGGAGGAAGAGGGGGAAGAGGAGGAGGAGGGGGATGGTAAAACAGCATCGTCATGCAACATTCATTCACTAAGAACATAATATGAAAAATTCAGCATTTCTCACAGGGCACATGTGAACATGTGGGCAGTGCATGTGCAGCACATCAAAAACACAACAGCTGCAGACTTTCCATTCAGCAGGAAGTAAAGACTGTAGGCACTTTTGATCGCATGTAATTTCGATAAGGTGAATGGCAGCATGTTTATCCTCTCAGTCACATCCCTCTGTAATAAGCTCAGGCTTTAGTTGCTGTGTTCCAGTACAGTGAGGCTGCAGCTGCTCAGTCTTTCAGGCGAGTTGAGGGTTTTTTGTTTTCCACCCGTTTTCTGACAAGCCCCGCCCTCTTGCGCTGCGATTGGCTGATAGGTCACACTCACAGGTACCCCGCTGATTGCACGGTTGAGATGCCGCTCGCATCTCCATAGCAACAGTAGAACGCAAAACAAGATGCAAAAGAAACAAAAATTACATCAGAATTATTTCCAAAATCTCAAGCCTTTTTTATTTTTTTATTATAAATACAGTAAAATAATTATAAATAAAATCCGAAATAAAGTGATAAATGAAACATCTACTTGAAGAGGTTATAAATAAAATAACAAATAAAAAAATAAATCTAAATTCTGAGCTGAATTAAATGTTAACATTGTACCACAGAATCGGAACTGCAACAAGACATCAATTTTAAATTCATAAAATATGAACAAAAAATTAATATGTGCATACAGTAAAACTGTAACAGTAAAATAGCGTAAAATATTATAAAAATGCTTTTAAAATATTTTTAAAAATACACAGATATAATATCTTAGTAAACAGTGCAGTTACATCTGGTATTGTTGTATTTATAGACCTTTTCTATGCATTTGTGTACAACTGGCCACACATTATAAATGTATTGCATTAAAAATATAAAAAAAATAAATAAATATGTAACATCTTAATACCTCATGCACTCAGTGCTAGTATTCTAGTATTTATAGACCTGACTGTTTTATACATTTGTGTATAACTGGCCATGCAGTGCATATATTAGAAACATGATATTAAAAACATTTCTTACATTTAAAAAAAACATAATATCTTCATAACTCATGCAGTCAATGCTAGTATTGAAGTATTAATAGACCGGATTTTTATATATCTGTACACATACGTTTTTTTATACACCTGGCCATATAGCGCACATTTTAGAAACATATAATGTTAAAAATATTTTTAAAATATTTTTAAAAAATATGTAATATCTTTGTAACTCGTGCAGTCAGTGCTAGTATTCTGGTATTTGTAGACCTATTTTGTGTACAACTGGCTATATAGTGGACATGTTACAAACACATAATATAAAAAAAAATCTATATATACATTTTTTAAATATGTAATATCGTTGTAACTCGTGCAGTCATTGCTGGTATTCTAGTACTTATAAGCTTAAGTTATGATTTGTTTTATTTTATTCTTTTCTTTTTTGACAATTTGTGTTCAATTTTCATCCTCACTTTCGTCCGCGACCGTTTTAGCTGAGCTGTTAGCCAATCAGAGCGCGGGAGGGCGTGGCTTTCCCGAAAACGGGTGTGGATTAAAAAAAACAAAACCCCTGTAGCTCCACCGTGGTTCGGGCGGCCGCATCGCTGCGTGCTGATGAAGGTCCCGCCCGAACCGGACGGCTTGTGACCGGACTCAGACCGTCGCCAAACGGACTCCGGAGCGTCTGACCCAGCAGCAGCGAGCGGGAATGAGCGAGCCGAGCGCGGGGAGAGAGCCGTGAGGGAGCCGCGCAGGGTGTGAAGGTGAGGGCTGGGTGACTCGGCGCTGCTGCCGCAGTAAATCTGCTGAGCTCAGAGAGAAGCAGGGGCAGCGCGGAGTTTACAGAGAGGACAGTCGTTACCGGACGCGGTTCTCTCCGGTTCTCCGTGTGTTAGTTTGAGAACAGGCCGTAGTGAGTCAGCCAGCATGTCTCTGAGTTACGAGCAGCTCTGCCTGATCAATATTTAACACAGAAACGCTGAAACACAGCAGGGAGCGCTTGGCCAGAGTCACCGCCAGCGATTTCACAGGATTATAGGCTGCTGCTGTTTGCTATTATTAATATTTAATAGTGAAATATAGCCGTGGCACCTCTGACGCAGACTCTCCAAGGCACGTTAGTGTTATATAGGCTCGTACAGAGTAATGATAATGTAATTTGAGCGATTAGTAATGTTTAATATGGAAATATTGAGTTGTATTTTAGGCTATAGCCCATATTATAGCCCAGTATAAACACAGTAGTCCGGCTATAATGTGGAGAGGTATCCAGGAGGCTGCTGCTCATTATTATTACTATTTTATTTTAGATTACTAGGCTGTGATAATGGTATAGGAAGTTTGTTGTAGCATATAAAAATTGCATATTTGTTATCTATCTACCTATCTATCTATCTATCTATCTTTCCACACACACATATATTTTCGTGTGTGTGTAATCATAGTTTGTATGCATGCATGTGCAGGATGCAGGACTGCAGCAGGTGCACGTGCTCCTGCGCCTGGTCAGCGCAAGCCCTGAATGTGACCCAAGGACTTAAGGCCGCACGCTTGTAAAGGAAATTAAACAACAAAACCAAAATAAAAAAAAGGTCCCATGGCGTCCGGTCACGGTGAGTCGGTGCGGCGCAGGTTCATCCGCACAAACCTGTGGTTCTCCGAGTCTGAGGACCAGGGGCCCGAGAGCCCAGAGAGCGCCACCGTGAGAGATCAGCCTTGCTCGGCTGGACATTGCGACGCTCCCGGAGATGAGGAACCTAAACCTGAAAAGCAGCAGCAGGAGCCACAGCAGGAGCAGGAGCAGGAGAGGAAGGATGATAAACAGTGATCACGAAGAGGCTCGCGGAAAAGCCTCCAGTGCCACCGGAAAGGCCGGAAGCGAGGAGGAGGCGGAGGCAGAGGTGAAGGCGGTGTGCACGTCCCCCGGGGGGCGCTTCCTCAAGTTTGATATCGAGCTGGGCAGGGGCTCGTTCAAGAGCGTCTATAAGGGACTGGACACAGACACGTGGGTGGAGGTGGCCTGGTGCGAGCTACAGGTAAGGACAAACAGCACTGGACACAAACAAACAAACAGTCATACAAACAAAAGGTGGTGGCTCGTAGTAGTAAGTCCAGGTGAGAGGACTTGTGGTGTAATCTTGAAGGCACTGCACCAGCCGTCAAAGGAGCTTCACCACTGTATCACTGATTAGACCACTGAACGTGTGGTACACTCTTAGAAATAAAGATTCTTTGCAGGTAAATTTTTTGTTCATCAAGGTACAAACAGTGTAGATGTACCCTCAAAGGTACAACAGTGGTTTTAAGGTCTGATTGTGAACCTTAAATAAGTTTTTCCAGGTGAAAAGTTCGTATTTGTACCTTTTCATAACGGAACAGTAAAATAAAAGCCTGGAGACGAGACGGGGTGTGTGGAGTCAGTACAGCTTAGAACATATCATTTCAGTGGATTATGGTTCAGTTATGTTCCCTGACTAAAGGTACTGAGATGGACCCTTGAGGGTTCCACCCCAGTGACAGGAGGGGCACTGCCCCAGTGACAGTTTTGTACCTTTTTTCCGAGAGTGTTGTACCAGTAATTGGAGGAACTTTGTCGCTGGTTATACCGCTGGACTTGAGGTATAATCTTGAAGATATTCAGCCAGTCGTCCAGGGGACCTCGTAAACAACCACAACGTCACAAAGTCAAGATCAACTGAATTTTGAAAATGTTTAGTCATTTATCTGAGGGGCTTCATTGCTATTGAAGACCCTTGGATGAGTGGCTGGATGTCTTCAAGATTAAATTTGTTCATGCATTTGTTACAAGCTGAGTTGATCACTGTAATGATCCTCTTACTGGACTTCCTAAGAAAACTATACATCCCTTAAAACTCGTACAAAACGCATCAGCATCCCAACAAAGACGAAACAGAGAGATCAGATCGCTCCTGCTTTAAAAGAGCTGCACTGGCTGTCTGTATCGTTCAGGATAGATTTTAAAGCTCTGCTACTAGTTTTTAAGGCTCTAAATGACCTTAAAGCACCGCTTACATCACAGAGTGTCTGTGTGTTTATGATCTTAGATCTGCACATACTGACCTTCTACAAAACACTGAAACAACTTTCAGTTATTCTGCTTCTAAACTGTGGAACTCAGTTCACCTTTTATTAGACAGCCAAGCTCAGTGCTCACTTTTAGGAAACGTCTAAAAACATCTCTCTTATTTTAGCTTTTAATTAAAACTCTATGTCTTCAAATTGCACATATTGTGCAACATCTTCAGTGGTCCAATCAGTAATACATTAGGGCCTTCCCTAAGTGCAGCTGGTGCAGCGTCTTTAAGGTTATCCTGCAAATTCAGAGGTAGAATCAGTGACACAGTAATGAAGTGCCTCAGCTGAGTTATTAAAGTCATAAGTCATGAGAGGCCATATGTACAGTTAAGCTAAAACCCCCTTACCCATAATAAAATCATTGTAACGTAAGGTCTCACTTAGCTTATTGCTTTTATAAAACAGCAGCAACATAAAATATGATAAAATACAAAAATAATCATGAAATAATTTGGGTTACCAATAATTATAATCACAATAAACGGTTCTTCCACCAAGAAGAGTAGGCCAGGGGTGTCCAAAGCTTTTTTCAACGGTGGCCAGATTGTACTGTGTCAAAATCTCTTATTCACAAATGATTCAAAATATTAAGGTTTCAAAATATCAGCACATAAAATCAGAGCTTTCTGTGTCCTGTCACTGTGTAAAAGATGCACATGGCCTGTTTTATTGCTGGATTACTCATTCAGACCAATTTGGATCGGTAAGAACGAGCAAATAATTAAATTGTTTAAGAGCAGCAATAAAACATGTCTACTGTATTAAGTACTTTCCTATTCAAGTGTTTACTTGTTTAAAAATATAATGTGTGAGACAAACTAAATAAAAATCTATACATTTTTAGGTAGCTAGATCAGGTTCTTTACATATCAGATAAATGCAGTGACAGCATTCAGACATCATTGTATTAAATGAGAGCAGAATAAACAGCTCAAATAGCCACATTATTGTAATATTGTTTCGGGTCTTAAAGAGTTCATATTTATTGAACTGCTGAATTTGCACTGATAAGAAGTTGGTGCTGTGAGATTCGGGGAGCTGCAGCTGAGTTTCTTTCTCTCCTGATATTTACTGTAATGTTATCTTTTAGCCCAGTTGTTAAAAATATAGGTTGTCATTTTTAAATTAAACCAGGTTCTTTCTTCATCTACCACAGGGGTCGACAACACGTGGCCCCTGAGCCGCATGCGGCTCTTCTACTGTCCTGTTGTGGCTCCACAGCAGAATCAGATTTGTAGGTAAAATAAAATAATCCTCCTTTACAGTAAAATAAAGCTCTGCTGATCGTTCAACACAGTTTAACAATAAATGGTCTTAAACTCTGGAGTTAATGTAGAACTGCTAATTCACCCTTTAACCCTGAAGATCAGCACAGACTGCTGGTCACCATAGCAACACAGACAACAGTCTCGCCTATCTAGTAGCTAATGAAACAGCAAAGAGAGAGATTTAAGAGAAAGAAAGAGACACAAATGGACTTATTTCCATTTATAATCACTCCAGCTGGTTTCCTAATGTGTTTAATCTGCAGCGAGAAACTGTCAAACACTAAAAAGTGGCAAAGCTGAAGTCGGTTTCTCATTCGCCAGCTTCTTGTTTGAATTCTCCCGTTCCACCTTAAATGGTGCAGCAGTTACATTCTGGCGTCTCAGGCACCATTTAAGGTGGAACGGGAAAATTCAAACAAGAAGCTGGTGAACGAGAAGCGACTTCAGCCTCGTAAAAAGTCGAACGCTGAGAGACATTTTACAAGAAACTGTTCCACTTTTGAGGAAAAGTTTCCTGCTGGAGATGCGAGAAAAGCAGCTACAGCTGAGCTAAAGCTTAAAGCAGAGCAAAGTAAGTCTGTGTGTTTATATTTTTTAGTCTACACTAAGACATCAGCACATACTGAGACATATTTACAGCCAAGATGGTGAAATTTTACTTCAATAAAATAGACATAAAATGTTGTGGCTCCCATGGTGGTTTGATTTTTGTTGAGAGGACAGAATTGCTCTTCTTAACATTTGGGTTGCGACCCCTGGTCTATCATTATCAGTACACTCAGTGATCCATGCGAGCAGCGTAACAATCTCACAATATTTTAGAGACTTCAGCGCATTAATACAGAATTCAGTTGTTGTGAGCTGTGTGTGCATACATTGAGTATTTTACAGTGGCTTTAACCAATCAGGTTTTAGGACCAGAACTATCCATTTTATAATGAAGATTATAGCACAAGTCTAATTATACAGTGATGAAGCATCTGGTTAGACGTCTTCAAGATTATACCACGAGTTCAATGGTATAATCAGCGATACAGTGATTAAGCCCTTAGGATGACCGGTGCAGCATCTCCAGATTACAGGCTACCAGACATCTAGTGGTATAATCAGTCCTACATTGATGAAGCCCCTCAGCCGAGTGGCTAAACGCCTTCAAGATTATAGTACAGTTAAAGCCCCCTTGGATGAGTGGTGGAACATCTTCAAGACCACAAATCCAGTGATAGAGTGATGAAGTCCTTGGATGAATGGCTAAACATTTTGAGATTACACCACAAATCCTGCAGTATAATCAGTGATATGGTCAGGAAGCTGGTCAGATGATGGCTAAACGAAGGGTTTCCATAGCCGTCCAGCACAGTTTGATGATTTTACCTGTCCAAGCAGACTTGATTCAACTCAGCCGTTATTTACCAGCTTTGTATGTGTGTTAAGTGGGAACATCACCAAACTATGGTGGACTTTGGTCGTCCAGCTGTGGAACTGGACAAATGCTGGACTAAACATCTCCAAGATTTTACTACAAGTTCATTAATATGATCTGTGATACAGAAATGAAGCCCCTCAGACGAGCAGCTGAATGTCTTCAAGGTTTTACCACAAGACTTGTTGCCTCGACGTAGTACAACGCTTAAAAAAGAGGGTTCTTCAGGAAAGAAAATGGTTCTATGTAGAAGCATTAACACTCAACACTTTGCATCATGAATGGGTTCTTCAGCTTGATGGAGAATGTGCTGCAGATGGTTCTATGTAGGACTTTTTGAAAAGGGTTCTATATAGCACCAAAAAGCGTTCTTCTATTGTTAGACTCTTAAAAAAAGATGGTTCTTCAGGGATTCTTTAGTAAAGAAAATGGTTCTGTACACAAGCATTAACACTCAAAGAACCCTTTGCATGGTGAAAGTGTTCTTCAGATTAATGGTGAATGTGCTGTAGATGGTTCTATATAGAAATGTTCTCCTTTGCCTGATTAAAGGGTTCTTTGCATCATGAAAGGTTCTAAAGAATGTGCTGCACATGGTTCTATATAGAACATTTTTGAAAATGGTTCTTCTATTGTTACAATGTCAAGCTTGTAACAATAGAAGAACCCTTTTGGGTGCTATATAGAAGCCATCAATCTGAAGAACCCTTTTATGATGCAAAGAACCCTTTAATCATGCAGAGGGTTCTTTGAGTGCTTGTGGTTCTACCTAGAACCATTTTCTTTACTAAAGAACCCTTGAAGAATCATGTTTTTTAAGTGTGGACAAGCTTGACATCGTAACCATAGTAGAACCCTGTTTGGTGCTGTATAGAACCCCTTTCAAACAGGTGCTATATAGAACCATCTACAGCACGTTCCCCGTAAAGCTGAAGAACGCTTTCATGATGCAAAGAACCCTTTAATTGTGCAAGGGATTATTTAAGTATTAATGGTTCTATATAGAACCATTTTCTTTACCAAAGAACCCTTGAAGAACCATCTTTTTTTTAGGAGTGTAGATTGGTTGACTAAAAACACTGCAGACAGCTCTTATATTCGCACCAGAGCAATAGATCTGAACTCCGTTCAGGAAAACGAGTGGCACTAACAAAGAAGACAAGTTCTAAGGGCATAGAACTCGGACTTTAACAGTACATAACCTTTGAAAATGAATGTTCTTAGAGCAGAGAGTTCTTGGAAAGTTCTT